CCCGCAGCCGCCCCCGCCCCCTCTGCCTCCTCCTCCCAGCTCCCGGCCCAAGCCTGTCCTCGGCGCCGCCCCCTCAGGCCGCCGGGCCCGGCCTTCCCCGCTGACTGACAGCGGGACCTCCTTCAGCGGCCGTCCGGGCCTGGGGAGCGGCGCGGAGGCGGCTCCGGCCCTGCCCAGCCCGCGGCCCCCGGAGCTCCGGCCGGAGAGGGGGGAGGGAACAGCGGCGGGCTTGCGGCGCGCGAGGACTACGGGCCCAAAGTGAGGGCGGATAACGGGGTCGGCAGGCCGGATAACGGGACTGGGAGGTGGATAACGGAGCTGGCCAGGCGGGGTCGGGGAGAGAGAAAGGGGCGAGACCGGCGAGTAACGGGCTCTGAGCAGATGCGAGTTTGATTTCAAAGCTCCTTCCTTAAAATTCAGGACCCCGGGGGCTGGCTCGGGGAAGGAGTGGGTCCAGTCTCCCGCGGATGGGGTTGGGGGTGGTGGCTTCTCGCCCGGCGCCCCGGATTCCAGGGCAGGAGGTGTGTGGGGGAAGGCGGGACTGGCACCTGCGAGCGCGCGTGGGAAGGGAACGCTCTGGGAGCAAAGGAATAATCGTGAGGTTTACGGAGATGTCCGGATTAACTACCTCGACTAAGTTTTTCTGATTCCCTTGTATTTGAAACCCAACATCTAACCGGGAGTGTGCCCCCTTCTCGGGACCCCTGCTGTCTCGCGGGGTCAGCCGCAGATCACGAACCATATGCGTGTCAGTCATTTCTGCACAGAGTGCGTTCGTATGTACCCAAGGACGTGCATGGCCCCGACTAGAGGATGTGAATCGGCGTGGCTGAAGAAGTGTGTGTGTGTGTGTTTGTGAATTGGTATTGATTCTTCAACAACTTTGGTCCCTATCCCTCCTTCCCTGATTGCATCATTAGTGCTAATTGAGGGGCTTTCACACACCAGTGAATTAGCTGTTTGGAGTGAACTCCCCCCTCCTGAGGGAGATAAGCCACTGCCCCTCCCCCCTCCCAAGACCTCACTTCCCTAGAACTGTCCACTAAGATCCTTTCACCCTTCCTGCCTCCCTCTGGGCCAGGACTGGTAAATGTCTCTCCTCCCTGCAGGTGTCAGGTTAACTGGGTAGGGGTCAGGCAGAAGGAGAGGTGGACCCGGAGGGGAGGTTTTCCCCACAGGGGGCTGAAGTGGTCTGGCCTTTATGCAGAATGCGGGGTCACTGTGATGAGAGGGGGATCAGAAACCTGCCCTGTTGTTCTTTTGGATATAACAGGGCCAGGGAGAGGACTGAATGCTTGGTCCCCATCCTGTGACCCCATTGAGGTAGAGGCTTGCAGCACTGACTCATTGGATCTCCTAAGACTTGGAAAGTTGGGATCCAGGTTGACTTAAGCAGGACTGGGAAGGGCTGCATGTGGGAAGCCATGATTCCCCTGAATTGGTGGAGTCCGCTCTGGTCCTGTTTAGCTCTTCTGCCCTGTTCTGGCCCATGGCTGCAGGGTGTGGGGGGAAGGCTCTGAGCAGATGCCCTCCCCAGTCCTCACACCAGATGTCTTTGGTCTAATTAACTGTGCTGGGAAAACCAACCTGGGTTTGTAAACAGAGCTACTGGCTAAAGTCAACAGGGAACAGCAGCAAACAGCAAACATTTCCCTCACACTCAGCCTCAGTCCAATTGAGGCCCCTGGGGAAGAGGGGGAGCCAGGTCGATCGTGAGGCTCCCTGGCCCACAGTGAGACAGGGGAAGTCTGTCTCTATGTGACCTCAGGATGACTGTTGTTTCTAACGAGTTTCTGGGCCTCCAGAAACAAGGGAAGCAACAAGGGAATATGGGGCTCAGAGTTGCCATCCCATGGGCTTTGTCCCTCTTGGAGCATTTTCCACATAATTACCCTCCAAGCCTCCTGATCCCTAAGGAAGCAATTGTGGGCAGAAGGGGTATTTCTTGAAGAACTTTCTTTGGGGCCTGCTCTTTTCTTGGGTCTTGGAGCAGCCTACGAGGGTAGGACTTGGCATTGTGGGCCTACAACTCAGAGTTGGTGAATATAACGCGAACATTGTTAAGTTCGTTACACATCATGTAGGTATTATAATAACATGTTCCAAAATTAGATAATTATTCCTGTGATATCTTTGCCAAGCTTCAGTGTTTCTATTATGGTTTGGAAGTTCAATGCACATAGGGGCCTGAGAAAGTCACAAATGTACCTACAGCACACACACACGCAGTATTTTCACACACAGGAACAAAGATATTTCAATTCTCTCTCACACTCACTCTATCTCCCTCACCCATGCTCAGACACCCAGACATACACAATCTGAGATGGAAGTAGGTTTTTGGCCTTTGAAAGAAAAGGATTGGACGTTCTGAAGAGATTAGAGTTTCTGAATTGGCAGTTCTTAACCAAAATTTGCTTGTTTGCTTTTTCTTTCTTTTTTTTTTGTGTGTGTGTGCCACCCAGCGAGAGGAATCATTTCAAAGAATTGAAAGGCTCCTGTTCTACAGTTGAGCACCCGCCTGGAAACATGGCAGGGCCCATTTCCTGAGCCTCACAGTCCAGAATCTTTGGGCCCGTGTCCAGTTCAGAATTCTCAGAGTGTCTTTGCACTACAGCCTCCAGACTAGAATCCTTACCAGCTTTCATCCAGGGCTCAGTGTTAGTATGAAGGTTCAGTGATTTGGCCATTCCATATTTTCCTGCTCTCTGTCACCTCCCACCATACTCCCTACCCTACCACTAACTTGGGTATCAATTTTTCACAAAGGAGGTAGATGACCCATGTCTCCAAAATGCCAAATTTCTTTGGAAATGTTGTTTAGTTACCCCTTCATGTTTCTTTCAGATTCTTCTAGGCTGCCTGGATTTTAGTGCCAGCTCTCTTCACTACCTGCCCTTTTGCCTCCAGCCCTGGCCTTAACACTTCTTTTAGAGTATTACTCTGCTGCCCAGACTCTGGAAGAGAGCTGTAACTGGCCTTCAGACCTCTACAGGCTGGCCCCAGCCTTCCACCTAGCCCTCCTCCCCATTTCTTATCATTCCTTTGCTCAACACAAGACTTTCAGGCCCAGTGCTGACTTACAAACATCATTTGCATTTTCCCATGTTGCCCACACAGTTGCTCCTTCCTGGAATACCCTCCTTCAGCCTTTCCAGTTAATCTTCATGAGCTAGTTCTTCAAGATTTTCCAGAAAGCAGTGAGTTATAGAAAGTGCTTTTCAATTGATGAGTCCTTGGAAACTTGATGGTAAATTCTCATAGTTCTGTGGATTGTTTTTTTTTCTCTGAAAGAAATGTACAAAATCTATTTCTCAGACTTTGGGAATTCTGTTATAGAATAAAGTGCTTGGACCTTGGAGTCAGAGAAACCTGGGTACAAATCTCATTAGCTGAGTTACTTTGAGCAAGTTAGTTATTACCCTCTCTGTGTATTCATTTTCTCATTACACAAAAGAGGGATGGATAATAAGAGGACTGGACACAAGGATGGCAGTTCAAACCCACCAGCTGCTCCTTGGAAACCCTATACAGGGTCGCTTTGAGTCAGAACTGACTCCATGGCACTTAACAATAATAACACACCACATAAAGTAGAGTACTAGGGTGGCGCTGTAGGATAAGCGGAATGCTAACCTCAAGGCCATTGGTTCAAACTCACCAGTTAGTCCTTGAAAACTTTATACATGGTTGGGATGAGCCAGAATCAACTCAGCGGCACTTAACAACAACAACAGAACCACATAAAAGTTGTTGAGCGGATCAAATGCAAAAACATGTAAACGCATGATAAACCCTCACTCAGTTTGTGCTGTTACTACTAAATCAAATATCAATATTGAGTACATATTCATGACCATATCAGGTTAGACAACTTGGCTGGCTATAACTCTGCCTAGAGGCAGTAATGACTTTGACCATTTTCCATCCTTGTTCCCACTGGTGATATCTCTCAGCCTCTTGGATTCTCTCTATGTCTGGAATTTTCAATTTTCCCAATTAGTGAACCAGCAGTTGATCAGAAGAGGTCCCCAGCAGCCTCCCCAACCTTGACAGTGAACTGCTGAGGGAAACTGTATCAGGGCCTGGGCTCAGTCCCCAGATATACACCGCAGTGACCTGAGCAGGGAAGGCCTCAGCTCTGTCCTCTGGGGGCAGGGGTCGGGGTGGGGGTGGTGGGGTGGGGTGGTGGGGGAGGAGGGAGACAGATTGAGTTTAGGAGGAGGGGGAGGAAGGGGAGTGGCAAAGGGGCAGAGCCAGGCAGGCTGTTCTCCCACCCCCACCTCTCCCAGGTAGGAAGTGAAGCTGAGTTTCCAAAATATAAAAAACAGATGATGAAGGTCAGGTTTCCTATACACTGGAGAGCGGGAGCCCTAAGGCAGAGTCACCAAGAAATTATCTGAAACAGAGAGACAGGAGAGAGAAAGACAAGACAAATAGAAAAGATACAGAAGTATGGAGGCAGAGACACAACCTCCTGAATCCTGAGAAAGGTAGTCAGACCAAGACAAAGATAGAGACAGAAAGCGGTTGTTCAGGAGAGATCATCTACCCGTTTCTGGAAAAGAGCTTAGTTCCCCCTCTATGGGTCTCAGGATGGGAACATGAGCTGTTTCGGCTTCATGACATTGTTGGAGGGTGAGGCCCTCCCAAAACCCAGAGACCAAAAGACTCCGTGGGCTCTTAGAGCTCTCGAGGCTTGGGCTGGTCTGGTTTGGCCTCCAGGCCTGTGTTGGTGTGAGCCTGTCCCTCTCAAACTCCCTTCAGGGTCTGGCAGTGCCTTCCTCCTCTCTCAGCCCCGTCTCTCCCAGTAGCCCCTAGAGGTGCTCTATGACAGTTTCTCTCTCTTTACAGTTTCCTTTGGGAGGAGGAGCTGGATGTGAGTGACAATGACACCCACAAAGAAGCTGCGCCAGGGTTGGACCTGCCTTACATGGGCCTTCTAAGGGAGGTCTGGCAGTGAGGGCAGGGTTCCAGGGCCTCTGTTCCCTTGTGCTCCTGGGCAGATGGGTAGGCAGGTAGAGAGATGGAGAGCTGGCCAATGGATAGATAGATGGAGTCCTGGTGTGGCGCTGTAGGCTAATGCATCAGACTGCAAAGCCATTTGAACTGCAAAGTAGGTGGTTCAAGCTCACCACCTGCTCCTCGGAAACCCTATGCATGGTCACTATGGGTCGGAATCAACTCCATGGCATTTAACAACAACAACAAGACACAGGGGTAGGAGGCGGCAGGAGGACTTTTTCAAGAGAATGGGTTGGGGATAGAAGCCAAGGGGCCAGGTGGTTTGGAACTAACACAACACGCTTTCTCTGACCAAGCCAAAATGCTCCCTGAGTAGATGGGACAATTTTTCTTCTAGGTCACAGCCGACAGAAATAAACAGTTCTTAGGGAGCAGGCTTAGGGTTGCAGTTTGGAAAGTGAAGAGAAAAGAGGAAGAAAGGAGGGGCTCTTGAATTTGTGAATTTGTTTCTGAACCTGTATAGAGAGAGCTGAGAATTCTGTCTCTCTGCCCTTACTCCTCCAGGAAGTCAGCATAAGTCCAGGATCAGGAAGAAGACTTCTGGTAGTTTAGGTGGCTTCGGCCCTCAGGAGCTTGTAATGTAATTGGGAAGATGCACACAGAACCATCCGGGAATGACACAAAGGGTGGCAAGAAGTCATGGACTTGGAAAGAAATGGACACTACCTGGAACTCTGATGGAGAGTTATTATGTGATGAGAACCTGCTATATGCCAG